AAGTGTTATGGAGACAAATAAACTAAACAACATTTGCCCGGGCACTACATCCACATTCTTTACCAAATTTGAATTAAAAACCAAATACAGAAAATAAACACTATGATAAAAATAAGTGAGTGTGCCAGAACCTTTTCGACACCGCAATCTTTGCCGATTTGTAATTATTTTTTGGCATTTGCAAATGCCGTGAAAATTTACAGATATGTAGTTTACATCATCAACAACTCATTAAAAAGTTTTTAAAAAATAATAAAATTTGTTTAGCGCAGAAATAAAGTGAAAACAAAAAGTTAGAAGTGAAAAAAAACAAAATAGTGAGTGGGCGAGCACGTTTTGACACCACCATCTTATACCTGTGTAGGTTCCATCATAGAGAACTCACAAAAAAAACTTCAGAAAAAAAAAACTTATTTTTAGGCCCCGAAGGGGACCCCGAACGCCCGAACGATGGGGGACCAGCCTGGGGGATCTCGAACGTTCGGTCAGATAACCCTGATTTTATTATTATATTATTTTATAATTTATGATTAAAAATATATATAAATTATTTTAATTTTTTATTTTTATTTTTTAATTTGTTATTAAGCTTTTATTATTTTATTATTTTATTACTTTATTATTTTTTTAATATTTTATTATTATAATTATTATTTAGTTATAATTTTATCATTTGTTTATTATTTATTATTTTTATTTTATTTTTTTGTTTTTAATTCTTATTTTTAGTTTTTAATTTGCTATTAAGTTTTTGTAATTTTATATGCTTGTGTGTGTTTGTGTGTGTGTGTGTGTGTGTGTGTGTGTGTTCGTGTGTACGTTGGCGTTCCATATCCTTTTCTAATGTGCATATTGCGAGCTTCAAAATTCCTGTCTCTCTCTCTCTCTACCTATCTATCTATCTATCTCTCTCTCTCTCTCTTTTTCTCTCTCTTGGATTATAGAACGAAAAAGTACGGCTCGTTCGTTTTGTTGGCGAGAAACAATGTTGGACATCGTTTGTTTTTTTTTCTATTTTTTTTTTTTGAATTTTAAGACAGCATGCAACAGATCACATTCCACATAAAAATAAACAAATTATATGTAGTACTCCTTTTTCGTGACAGCAAATGAGATCCACATGACACCTTCATGCATGTGTGTATGACAGTGCGATGGTCACAACTGCATTGTCGTTTCATCCAATGACGAATTGGATGATGATGCAACCATGTGCATGGCAACTGTGACGATGTAGACAGTACTTGACAATGTCAGTTTCAGTACCGACGTCGCGTCCCCATTAACCACTCGTGGATGATTGGTCATCATCGATATCACGACGATGGTGTTGAACTTGGTAGTGTCCACGTCGTCACAGCTGCCATGAGCATGGGTCATCATCGATATCGCGACGACAGTGTTGAAAGTGACAGTGTTGACGTCGTCACAACTGCCATGCGCATGACCGTCGTCATCATCAAATTTGTCGTCGGATGAAAGGACGATGCTGTATGATTACGGTCATCGTCTGTCCGAACCGTAGTCCATCAAGATCAGGCAATGATGGAAGAGGAAAGAAAAGAACAAAAAAAAAAAAAAAAGCACATCAACAACATTTCACACGCCTAAAAAAACCCTCCCGCTACTCAGTGATGATTGTTTGCTCTCCCTCTCTCTCTCTCTCTCTCTCTCTCTCTCTCTCTCTCTCTCTCTCTCTCTCTCTCTCTC